CTGAATAGTTTAAATATCCTCCGAAGCCTCTAACAGCCTGGAAAGGCTTTCGGTGTTTAAGGTAGATATATATATATATACATATATGTATGTATATATATATACACATACATGTACATATTGACATACACAGAACAACCCTAAACCCTGCAAGCCCTATTCCCACAAACCATGGAAAGCATTAAACCCTTCTATATAAAAACCCTAAAGGCTCAAATCTCCAAGCCTGGAAAGGCTGAAGTCTCCAAGCCTGGAAAGGCTAAAGCTTAAGGCCTTTTTTCTCAGAACCCTGTAATAGATGCCTCCAATCTCCAAGCCTGGAAAGGCTCAAGTCTCCAAGCCTGGAAAGGCTTAAGCTTTCAAAGCTTGAAGGCAGTTGCAAGTACTCCCAAAGCAAGTCGCTTAGAAAGGGAAACTCGTGCAGGCCTTTGTCGCTGCCGCTTGAAACACGTCGCTGCGAGTGTTCGTGGATGTACACGAAAGTGGCACTGAGACCCCATGCCAAAACGGATCACGGCTGCATGCTTAGATGCAAGCCTTTCCCCAGACCCCCTGTGAGACTCCTCTACTTGAGCCCGTGTTTCTTGGCTCGTTCAAGCCACTCTGTTCGAGTGAGTCTCACACCCTTGAACCCTGGCTTCAGACAAACCTCACAGCAGAAGCCACGACACTTAAGGCATCCCAGCTTTTCGTCGAAAGCCTTGGAACTGGAAGCCTTGGACTTCGCCTTGGCCACTGCTTTGCACTTTGCCTTTGCTTTGCACTTGGGCTGTGCCTTGGCCTTCGCCTTTGCTGTGGCTTTGGCCTTTGCCTTGGCTTTTGCCGTCGCCTGAGTCTTCTTCTCCTGTAGCTTCCGAAAGTGTTCGTCCTCGAAAGCTTCCAAGCCTGCAGCGGGCTCTTGCTGCTGCTCAGCTTGCTTCGGCTGCGACTCTGCAGGCTGCTGAGCAGGAAAGTTCTGGGCAGGAAGCTCAAGGCTTGCAGGGGCCACACCTTGGGCCACAGTTGCTGCAGGGGGTAGCTGCTGCAAGTTCTGCAAAGGCAGCTGAGCAGGCTGAGCAGTGTTGTTCTGCAAACCGTTCTGCAAAGCCAAGACACCAGGCTGAGCAGTGTGGGTCTGCGAGCCGTTCTGCAGAGAGAGCTGACCAAGCTGAGCCGTGTTGTTCTGCTGCCCAAAACCAGTCTGCAACGGCAGACCAGTAGGCTGGCCTTGCCCAGGCTGGGTGAAGGACAAGTTGAGTGCAGCCTGGTTGTTGCACTGGAACTTCTGGTACATCGAGTTGAGGAAGTGGCCAAAGGAAAGCATTTGCTGCTGTTGCTGTTGCTGCTGGTCCAGGACGAGGGCCGGAGCTTGAACTTGCACTTGGCCAGCCTTCCCAGCCTCTGCTGCATGGTTTTCGCTAAAACAGATTTAAAGGTGGAGGCAAAAACCCGTACTATTTCTTTTAATCTCGGACATGGATTGAGTAACACCAAAGAGCCGTACTAAAGGTCTTAATCGTGGCTTTACAGAAAAAAAAGCGGTTTCGCAGGCGGTAGCTTCATTCTGCTGCAAGCTCTCATCCGAGTAACCTTCTTCTTGCCTTGGTGGCTCACTGAGTTGCTGGAGTTCCGAACCCAAGCATGATGCTTCCTCATCTCTGCCAGGCCCGGGAACGACTGGCCGGTGGCAGGAGCCTCGTCCGGGTAAGCTGCCTGGAAGTGCTCCTTGCTCAAGTGCTTTGGGCTGGAAGGAAAGCTAGCCAAGCTTGGCACTCCTGCTGGCACCGGTGTTGTGCTTGTGATGAAGGAGTAATGCACCTGCTGAGACACAGAATACACGGTGTCGCCATCAGGAGGGACCATGTCCTTGGCCCGCTTTGTCTCGAACCACACGAGCACAGCCGTCGCCGACTTCTTCGTGGATTCTTTCATGGCTCTAAAGCCAAGCATC